CCAGGTCCTGCCCATCTTCTCCATGTGCGCCTTCACCCTGGGCCTCACCACCGCCTTCCTTGGGCCGTGGGCGGAGCGCAAGGGCCCGCGCATGGTGGCGACGGCCGCTGGTCTGGCGTGGGGCGGCGGGCTCATGCTCACGGGTCTCGGTACCATGCTGCACGAGCTGCCTCTCCTCTATCTCGGATACGGCGTCTTTGGCGGCATCGGTGCGTGCACTGTGCTTGTGTGTGTGCGCATGTGTGATCGTTGTGAGCCCGTGATTGCCTGGTATTCTCACCACATCACCTCAAATCCACTGGCAATGCGGCCAATGGTTGATTGCTCTGCAGGCTGGGGTCTTGGATACATCAGTCCCGTGTCAACGCTCATGCGGTGAGCTGCCACACCTTTCTACAGCACAGCAATGCGTGATCCCCTATCACATCCACGCCAGCCACAAATTGTGCACACATGTACACCCAAGCACACAACATGTCTCTATCTTCGTCCCTCCCTCACACATATTCCCCCACACCACCACCACCACCACCACGTACACCACCGCACATCATGCCACCGCGGTGCAGCTGGTTCCCTGACCGGCGCGGGCTTGCGACGGGCCTTGCCCTGACGGCGTTTGGCGGCGGTGCAATGCTCGCCACACCCGTCAACGAGGCCCTCTTCTCCGCATTCTACGAGATGCCAACATACCTCGGAGCCGTGAGTGCACTCGTGAAGTTGCCTGTTGTTGTTGTTGTTGTTGTTGTTGTTGTTGTTGTTGTTGTTGTTGTTGTTGTTGTTGTTGTTTGTTTGTTTGTTTGTTTGTTTGTTTGTTTGTTTGTTTGTTTGTTTGTTTGTTTGTTTGTTTGTTTGTTTGTTTGTTTGTTTGTTTGTTTGTTTGTTTGTTTGTTGTTGTTGTTGTTGTTGTGGCGATCTGTGCCTGCTGTAGATTCGAGACGCTGAGCAAGTGGTGTTCCGCCATTCAATCGACTCGTCATCCGCGCTTCCATCACACAACCATGCATCCATCCTCTGTCCAGGTCGACAGCGTTGATCTCGTGACGGAGAACGGGCGCCGCTTTGCTGATGTTTCTGGACAATTGCAGGAAGTCGTCATTGCCTCGGCCACAGACCTCTCCAAGGCCGGCATCAGCGGCGATGCGGGCGTTTATGCCGTGGGCACGGGCAGCACTGGCGCTGCCAAGACGTTCTTTGCACTCGGCGCATCGTACCTCACCCTCATGCTTGCCGGTGCCATGGGGCAGCGTGTGCCCCCAGAGGGGTGGAAGCCAGAGGTGCGCCTATGTGGGAGGGAGAAACAAATCGTGTGTAGCAGCGTGTATGGGCGAATGGTGGCGAGTGTGTGTGTGTGTGTGTATGTGTGTGTATGTGTGTGTGTGTGTGTTGTGTTGTGTCGTGTGTGTGTGCGTGTGTGTGTGTGTGCTTGCAGATGACACTCGCTCACCTAACCGCCTCTTTTTTCTTCTAACTGCAGGGATTTGTTGAGCCGAAGACAGAGAACAAGATGATGACGAGTGGAAACGTGCACTACACAACGGCGCTCAAGACGCCACAATTCTATCTCCTGTGGCTCGCTGTCGCCGGCAATGCCGTCGCAGGCGTCACCGTCATGTCCTGCGCCAAGAATATCATGACTGACGTGTTTGGCTCAGCGCTGCCGCACATTGTCACGGGCACGTTTGCTGCTGGGTACGTGGCTGCGCTCAGCGGCATCAACATGGTTGGTCGCCTTGGCTGGGCTGCGGCGAGCGACTATCTTGGACGCAAAAACACGTATTTCCTGTTTGGTTTGGGCATCCCAGTCATGGCAGGCCTTCCCTCCCTCACAAACTACCTCATCGAGAAGTGAGCCGTGCATTCGTGTGTGTGTGTGTGTTGTGTGCATTGTGTGGTGTGTTGTGTGTGTGTGTGTTGTGTCGTGTGTATGTATCTATTTGTCTGCCTGTCTATCTGTCTGTCTGTGTGCGCGTAAGGTTGTGCATCGTACTTGATGTGCGTGTGCATATTGGAGTCTGCTCACACGTCCTAATCCAACGCCACCATTTCCGCCACCACCCATCACCTGCCAGCCCCGCCACCACCCCGCTGTACATCTTCGCTGCCGGCACTGCTCTCACCATGAGTTTCTACGGCGGAATCTTCTCAGGTCCGTGTGTGTGTGTGTGTGTGTGTGTGTGTGTGTGTGTGTGTGTGTGTGTGTGTGTGTGTGTGTGTGTGTGTGTGTGTGTGTGTGTGTGTGTGTGTGCGTGGGCGTCTGCTTTGTGTGTGATTGCAGCAATCACCGCCATCACGTTCACCTCACATGCTGCCTACCCACCAACCCCCACTCCCCGCACACACACCATCGCCAGTGCTGCCTGCGTATCTTGCCGACATCTTTGGGCAGAAGCACGTTGGTGCCATCCACGGACGACAGCTGACGGCGTGGAGTGCAGCCGCGCTCGGCGGTCCTCTCCTCCTCTCCACTCTCCGTGACTCGTGCGTTGAATGGATGATGAATGGATGATGACGGTCATGATGGTGGGGATGTTACTTGTGATGACGGTGGTGATGGGGCTCACATGGATATGGCAGAGAAACGTTGATGATCAAGTGCGAATGTGCAACCAATCACATGTTCACACATCCAAACGTTCACCCAACAACCATTCACGTGCCACATGGCCTCACCCAACCTGCGTTTAGATCGTACAAGGCCGCGGTGGACGATTTGGCCGGAAAGTGCGACCCCGCCCTCTTCCAGACAAAGTTTGGCGCGCCCATGTCATCGCTCTCAGAACTCGTGGATGCAAAGACCGTCACTATCGGTACGGACACGGAGACATTTCCGTTCGTGTGGTTGTTTGTTTGTGGTGCTCGCTTGCCTGTTTGCTTGTAATATGTGCGCGCCCCGGCAAGTCGAACGTGGTCACACACCTCGTGTATGCCAACGCTCTCACCGCTTGCTTCATCTCATTCACCTCCGACACCACCTTGCACCCACAAGGGAGCCTGATGGAGATTGCGCCTGCGGGGACGCTTGACCCAACGCCGTCCCTCTACAACACCGCGCTCTACAGCATGGCCGGCCTGCTCACATGTGCCGTCCTCTGCAACGCCATGATCAGGTGGGTGGGGGAGGGATGTGTGTAGGGGGGTGTCTGTGTCTGTGTCTGCCTGCCACTGTGTGTGTGCGTGCGTGCGTGTGTGTGTGTCTGCCTGCCTCTGTGCGTGTGTGTGTGTGTGTGTGTGTGTGTGTGTGTGTGTGTGTGTGTGTGTGTGTGTGCGTGTGTGTGCGTGTGTGTATGTGTCCGTGCGTTACGTGTACGTGTGTGCATGTCATTCTATGCATGCTGGCATACTTCATTGATCTCGCCACATGCATATCACTCGTTCACTCGCCCGCTGTCCACCTGACAGGCCTGTGGACCCCAAGTATATGCTGAAGGAGAACAAAGCCCCACCACCACCAGCAGTAGCACCACCAGCGGCGGCAGCTACGACAAAGCAGCAGTAGCCAGGGAGTTGTAATCGCGAGTGATGCAGAGGCCTAAGTCTTGTGCATGTGGGGTGTTATCATTGTTTCTTCGTTCCGTGCTGTGCTGCGCTGTGTGCAACGTTGGCGCATATTTCTCGGTCGGTCACGATTCTCTGTGTGTGAGGTGGAAATGGTACACGCACATACCCCAACGCAACGGCAGTAAACAACCCGCTAGTTCCACCCACATGTGTGTGTATGTGTATGTGTGTGTGTGTGGCGTGGTAGGTGAAGTGATTTGGAGAGTTCCAGTGTAATTCATCCGCAACCATTCACGCTCACAGCTAAAGGGAAGACACCACGTACGCGTGAGATTCAAACACAACACAAGGCAATACGAAACCACTGCACAACAACAAAACCACAACACATGAACAAACACCAACACCAGCGCCTCCAGTCCAGTCGCAGCAAAAACACAAGTCCTTCGCGCTGTTATCGCGTCATCAGTCCATCTTGGACAGTTCAAATCGCGTGTGCATCAGCTCCTGCGCCACGCAACAAAACGCCAGCGACGACAGCACAGGTGTGAGGTGTGTATGCATGTGTGTGTGCGTGTGCGTGCGTGTGTGTGTCTGTGTGTGTCTGTGTGTACGTGTGTGTGTCTGTATGTGCGTGTGTGTCGTTTGCAGTTGACCGTCATCTCCATGCGTTCATGACCATCACTGAACTATCAACAACCACACCCCCTCCGCTCCTACGTCTCGTGTCCACCACAGCACCTCATCGGAGTCGAGGGGAAAGCTGGGGAATGTCGTGTCGCTGACCATCGTGCTTGGGATGTTCTCCTCAACCCACTTCAGATCCTCATCCTGGATGCACAGCGGCGGTGGTGGTGAGGTGGTGATGGGACGGTGGAAAGGTGTAGACAGAGGTCACACACAAACACACACACACACACACACAAATACAGACACATACACAAACGGAGAGGCACGCACACGCACACACACGCACACATACGGAAGCACAGCCGCTCACCTCCTCGGGCAAGAGCGGGAGCTGGTGTTGGGACTGGTGGCGGTTGGAAACGTTGCGCTGCTTCATTGCGTCAGACTGGAAGTTGGGCACAACCTGATGAACACACACACACACATGCACACACACATGCACACACACATGCACACACAAACGCGCGAGTACACACGAGCATTGTGCAAGGATCCGTGAGAGAACATGAGGCAAGACGATGATGATGTGTATGCGTATGCTGCACCGCCAAGACCAAAAACTAAAGCGCAATCAACACCACATACACACACCAGCAAATCCAAGGTCAGCTCCTCACACACACACACAAAGCGAGGCACCTCGTAATCGTCGTCTGCGTTGTCTGCGTCGAGGGAGTACGCATAGCGCTGGTTGTTGAGCGTCGGCCGCCACAGGTACAGAATCACAACGAGCAGGCCGAAGAACAGGAAGTGCAGGTAGCTGGTGGTGGTATGGACGAACAAGTGTGAGTGCTTGTGGTGATAGTCAGCCGCAAAGCGCAGCGCACAGATGTTGAATGTGTTCAATCATCAACCACCATCACCATCACCATCACCACCAAGATCATCATCAAGACGACAAGATGGCGGTGCAAACTCACCCCTCGTGGTACCAGGCGGTGCGCCAGTCGGTCGTGTCGTCGAACGAGAGCCAGAGAACGTAGATGATGCCGGCAACAACGCCAATGCCAAGCGCAATGCGAAATCGCGAGTAAAGCAGCAGCTTTGTCGCGTTGTTCCTGACGAGACGAGGAGGAGGAGGAGGAGGAGGAGGAGGAGGAGGGACATGGTGAGGAAAGCGGGTGATGATACCCTCCATCGCGTCGAACACACAAACACACACACATACACACACAAATACACATCCACACATATGACACACCTGAGCATGAGGATTTTGATTGTGTTTGAGAGGGCGAGGAAAATCCACCAGAGAAATCCCGTCTCCAGGACGGCGAGCGGAATTGCCATCACATTCTGCACCTGGTCGCTCGCGTCAGAGGTCTGGCCGTTGTTGATTTGTGTGTATGTGTGCGAGTGTATGTGAGTGTATGTGAATATGAGTGTGTGTGTGTGTGTGTGTGTGTCAGCGTGTGACGCCACGTGGGTCATTGATGCACGCAAACATGTCATGCGCATGTGCACCACCATCACCACCATCACCACCACCAGCAGCACCTTTGCCAGTTCCGACGCGATAAAATACGCGGCGTGGAAGAAGAAGTAAGCGCCGCCAATGACAGTGATGTACTTCACAGCCCCGCCCAGACGCGGTCTAATGGCGATGGTGATGGTGGTGGTGGCGATGATGGTGAGGTGATGGAGGGTTGAATTCCAGTTTACGGGCACCTCGCGTGCACATACATGTGCTGTCCACCACTCACAAGCACACATACGAACGCACACACACACACACACGTGCACATGCGAGGGATTGCCGTATTGTGTTACACGTGTTGCTGTTCAACGCACTTGACAATGCCGTAACCCATGCTGATGATGAGGAGGAGCAGGCGGAACAGCGTCTGCTTCGCCGCCGAGAGAAGAACAGCAAACGCCTGCACACACACACACACACACACACACACACATGATGGCACACAGGGTGACACACACACATGCATACGTGCGAAGAAGGTGAGCATGAGCGAAATCCGAGGTGGTCTTGCATATGTTGTGTGTCACACACGAAAGAGCCACACGACCAAACACGCACGCACACACACATGTGACGCACACACGCGTACCATGAGACCGGTTGAGCGTGTGCCCTTGTTCTGGAAGTGGTCGTAGTCGGCGTAGCGGACAGACATCTCAATCATTCCAAAGAAGATGACGGCGCCCATCCAAAACTGGATGTAGAGCAGATCCTGCAGTGGTGGCGGTCGAGGGCAATATGGTGATGGTGGCGGTCAGGTGGTGGCGATTTGCATTGGCAGCTACGGTTGAAAAGGTCGTGGAGGGACAGGAAGATAAAAGCATACTGTACCACACCCAATCCACACACACACACACACACACGCACACGCACGCACACACACACACATACACACACACACACACACACACACACACACAGCACACGGCGGCACCTTGTAGTAGCAGGCGAGCATGACGGCCCAGAAGAGAGCGAGGCCGCCGTAACTGAAGCCGAGACCCGCGTACAGCGGCAGCAGCGGCACAAGGTCAGACGGAAGGTACCCGTCCACATTCTTGAACGTGGACGTGCCTGGAAGTGATGGTGGTGGCGGAAGTGGTGGTGGTGGTGGTGGGAACGGTGGAAGTAGTGGTGGGGATGGTGGTGGTGAGGGGTCAGCAGCAGGGGAAAGCAACGACGATCGTTTCCTGCAGATGCACACGCACACACACACACACACACACACACACACACACACACACACACACACACACACACATCAAGCGCACCAGAGATGGGGGCGCCGGTGTGTGTGATGTTGCCGCCTGATGACTCTGGGACGGACTCAATCCACAGCGTGTAGTAGCCGTCAAAGGCAAAGTGGCCCGTGGGCACCGTGACAACAGACCCGCACGTGCGGCAGCCAGACTGCAGCTTGATCTGACTCTCAAGCTGCAAATGTGCGCGGTCAAGGTATGTGCATTGGTAGTTGTGGGTAGATGTGAGTGTGTGAGGGCGGTGGAGTGATGCTCGAAGCATGCACGTCAGGGAAAAGCAAGTGGACAACCTCAGACACGACTGTTTGTATGCGACACACACACACACGCACACACGCACACACACATACACACAATAGAGAGAGACAGTAGCTTACGATGCGAAGACCGCTGGAGCGGTCGCACACGAGGCGCTGTGTGTCATCATCGTCATCGTCGTCACTGCCTGCCTTTGCCGCTGTTGTCGGTGCAGCCGTGGTCTTGTCACCACGTACGACACGTGGATGCACACCCACGCCCTGCAGGGAGCGGCGGCTACCGCCTCCCTGTTTCGGGGTTGTGGTGGCGTTGACAGTGGCGTTGGCAGTCGTTGTGACGGGGGCGGTTGTGGTCAGGGGAGAGGCTGCACATGTGTGTCAAACCGCCGGGGGGGGGGGTGAGAAAGGTGGAAAGAAAGACAAGAAGTCTCTTCGTGCACGCGAAGATACGAGCAATGTGTGTGTGTGTGTGTGTGTGTGTGTGTGTGTGTGTGTGCGTGTAGTTGTTGTGCACCTGAGCATTCGAGTCCCTCAGGGACGACGCAGGCGTTGGTAATGTTGGTGACGCCAGGTCTCTCCGTTGGGATCTCGTAGTATGGTGCAAACGATGACGCCGTCACCATGTAGGAGAAGTCGCCAACACACTCAACTGATGCAGGGCAGAGCAGTGTTGTGTGTGCGTGTGCATATGTGCGTATGCACGTGAGCGTCAAGTCAACAACACTCACACACACACACAAACACACACACATGCACAACGACACATGCACACATGCACACACATATGCGCAAACGTATGAACAAGCTGAGCCCACCTGCAAAGTCGATGAAGGGGCGTTTCTTGTTGGTCTTGAAGAGCGCTTCCGTGTGTTGATGCCAGGACCTGCCATCGTCGCCAAACTCGACGATGGCACCATGTCCCAGCTCAACCACGGATGCAAGCGCAACCACGGTGACAAGCACAGCGGCAACACAAGCGCCGCGTGTGCTCCACGCTCTCATGATCGTTGTCCCCTACCCCTGCGCTATCGTGCTTCCTCCTTTATCGTGGATGCTACTCCTCTGGACCTCTGTGCCTCTGGATCTCTGTGCCTCCGTGCAGTGTATGCGTATGTGTGCGTTGTTCGCTGTCCTGCACCAACCGTTATGTGGCAGTTCGCATAGCCATGAGCGTGTGTGTGTCAGCAGTACCAGTGAGCAACGCCAGCGATGAAAACGAAGGCGCTCAGCCAGCCAACAGGCACAGCCAACAATACGCTCTCTTTCTCTCTCTCTCTCTCGTGCACACCCACACGCCAGAGGTGTGCCTGCCACCTGTCACACACATGTACACAAGCACATGTACACAAGCACGACCAACACACAGTCGTCCAACAACGCACACCACTCACTCACTTTATTCGCCCACAACGAAGCAACAGCAGGAGCGAGTTGTGTGTGTTCCAAAAACGGCACAAGCGCCCAATACAGCAGAGGACACAGCAGCAAAAGCAGAAGCAGACAACAAGCAAGGCAGGCCAGCAGCCACGAGGTGCAGGTGCACTAAGCAAGCAAAGGCACGCGGATTGCTGGTGGTGGTGGTGGTGTGGTGGGTGAAGCAGTGAGCGCAAGAAGGGATCCGCAAAAGGGGTCACGCGATGGAGCAACCGGCAAAGCAGGCCAAGATGTCCACGAGCCCGTCTCGTGCGCACGCGAGAAGTGCAGCTGCGACCGCTGCTGCTGCATCGTCTGCAGCAAACAGCAACCGCAGCAATCATGTGGCAGGAGGGAACGGGAGTAGCAGTAGTGCAGTGAAGAAGCCAGAGGTGGATGAGACGGAGCCCCTAACCATGCCTCGCACAGCCAAGTCCATCATTCAGATCCTGCAGGATATGGGCATCCCATACTTTGAACCGCTCGTTGTGCCACAGCTCCTCGAGTTTTGCCAACGTATGTGCATGCGCGCGTGCATGCGTGTGTGTGTGTGTGTGTGTGTGTGTGTGTATGTGTGTGTTTGCTGAGTTGATCTGAGCATCTGTACATGTGTGCGCATGGATGCAATGCCATGACGCACGTTCACTATGACTCGTTGATGCCACCAGGATACATCCACAGCATGCTGGAGGACGGCACGAGGTTGGCGGAGCACCGTGTTGGGTCCGACAAGACAGCGGACAGCAGAGTCAAGGCTGCGGATACAGTCGCTCTAACTGTGGAAGACGTCAAACTGGCCATCCAGAGCAGGATAGACTTTGACAACTCCGCCCCACCACCACGAGAGGTGCGCACGTGCTTGTGTGCATGCTTGTGTGCATGCGTGTGTGTGTGTGTGTGTGTGTGTGTGTGTGTGTGTGTGTGTGTGTGTGTGGGTGTGTGGGTGTGTGTGTGTGTGTATTTGTGCATTGTATGTTGTTCAGCCTTTCTGTTCCTGCTTCCAGCCGTGGACGTGGGTGTGCTCGCATTCGACCCTTTTGTGCGCCCTTGTGGCTGCCATCATTGTTACGACTCACACCCCTCCTTCCCCCCTCCCTCTTACTCACTCTCTCATGCTGCCCTTGCCCGTGCTAGTATCTGCTTGAGATTGCGCGGGAGAAGAACGACATGCCACTTCCCCCGATCCCCGAGAAGCCCGGTCTCCATCTTCCCCAGGAGCGTTACTGTCTCACCAACCCCAACTACACCGTCAAGCCCGTACCGGTGTGTGTGAGTGTGTGTGAGTGTGTGTGTGTGTGTGTGTGTGGTGTCGTGTTGTGTGCAGCACACATGTGAGTGTGTGTGTGTGTGTGCTGCTTCACTGTGCTGCTTGTATACTCGTGTGCTTGTGTGCCTGCGCGTGTTCAAGTCCTTGTGAGCACTGACGAACGTGCAACTCATTCGCTTGTTTCAGAAGAAATCGCGGGACGCGGGGCCGTGGCCGAAGCACTTCACCAAGGTTTGCTAGTGGACACCAACTGACACGCTTGCATTCACCGATGCACGGGGCAGAAGTGATAGCGTTTGGGGATTGCCTCCTTTCAATTTCGTTCCGCACACACACACACACACGCACACACACACA